AGAGATCGAGGTTGTTAACAATTACAGCATGCTCAGCTCCACAATCAACACTCTTATCACCAGGTGTCAAGAAAACAAAAGACAAATTGCTTTGGGAAAATCTGTTGTCAGAGACCTCTCCAGAGTACTGAGAAGCAACACTGTCAGTCTAGAGACTAAGGTACATCTGATCCAGGTCATGGTCCACAGTTACTTGCTATGCTCCAGAGAGTGGGACAATAATAAAAGATGACAGAAGAAGAATCAATGCCTTCAAGTTCTGGTGCTGGATAAGAGTTTTGAACATACATGGACTGCTGAGAAAACAAATAGGTCTGTCTTGGAGAGAGTGAAACCAAATTTCACTTTGTAGACTAAGATTTTGAAGCTCCATTTTACACACTTTGGGCACTTCACACACGTTGGGCACATGGCCAGGAGAAACTAGTTCTTGGAGAAGGGCAACAATTCTTGGAAGGGTGGAGGGACAGCACAGGAGAGGAAGACACCAAATGAAATGGATTGATATAGTAACTGGGGCAATGAGGCTTGTTGTGTTGGAATTAGTGAGACTGGCTCAGGACAGGTCAGGGTTTAGAGTTGCTGTATATAGGGTTGCAGGTGACTCGACGGCACATAGCAACAACAACAGAAGCTATGAAGAGTGAAGCAAAGTGGCAGTTTGAGGAATGAATGAATTCTGAATGTTTTCTATGGGAGAGACATTAGGAATTTTGCAGTTGCTTTTCAGTGGCTCTTTATTTTGAGATATAATAAACACACACCAGAAAGTGACTAACCTAGATAGATACTGGTCTTCCACAGAAGAAACAAGCCCAGTTTCCAAGGAAATAACAGCCTAGTGAAAGGGTTGGAATAATAGGCATAGTGTTACAAAAGAGTAGGCCAAGGATTACAATTCACCAATCAGTTTGTTGTACTGTGCTGGCTTGTTTGTTGCTATCGTGCTGTAAGGTATGCCTTATATATTTCAAATACCACAAGGTAATCACTCAGAGTGGATGACTTCCAGAAAAGAAGCTTATAGACTACTGGTGGGGAGGGGTGGGAAGGGAGAAAATTGCGGCAATGAATGAATGGAAATCCAAAACCTCTGTTAAAAAAAA